TTTTTTTTCTAGAATCTTGTCATGAAAATAATACCTAATCATATATTCCTTTTAAACAGTTCTCTCCATCTGTTTCAATGCAGTATACATTATTTATCCCCTCTTTTCTTAGGTTACCCCCAACCCTGATGTTAGTCTCATTTTGCAACAGTGGCACTATGCAGTATTTGTCCTTTTGTGACTGGACTGAGATATTTCACTCAGCATAATATCCTCCAGGGTCACCCATTTTGAATAATATTACATGAGTTCCTTGTTTTTCAATGCAGCATAGTATTCCATTGTGCGAATATACCACAGCTTCTCTACCCATTCGTTTGTTAATGGGCATTTAGGTTGTTTCCAACTCTTTGCATTTGTGAACAAAGCCGCAATAAACATGAGTGTCCATATATCTGCTTGGATGGCAATTATGGTTTCTTTAGGGTATAATCTCAGAAGTGGAATTGCTGGGTCAAATGGTATTTTTATTTGCAACTTTCTGAGAAAGCGCCATACTGCCTTCTGTGGTTGCACCATTTTACACTCCCACCAACAGTGAGTAACGGTTCCAGTTTCTTCGCAGCCTCACCAGCATTTGTTGTTTGCTGTTCTGTTGAATTTTACTATTCTTACTGGGGTGAGATGATACCTCATAGTTGTTTTGATTTGCAAGATGATGACATCTTGAGTGTAACAGAAAGGGAGGCATTTGTCAGGAAGGAGCAGAGCCTCATATGCGGACCAGGTGCTCTTCCCCACCTCTAAGGGCAGTGGAGCCTGGAAGGCCAGACCTGCCTCAGATGTAATGGTGTGTGTGTGTGTGAGAGAGAGAGAGAGACAGCAGACCTGCCTCAGATGTGACACGTGTGTGTGTGTGTGTGTGTGTGTGTGTGTGTGAGAGAGAGAGAGAGAGAGAGACAGCATTCTTTCAAGTCCCTGCACGTGTGGGAAGAATAGAACTTAGTTTTCTGTCTCTTCTTCCAGGCTGCGATTTCAAGTCCCTTCAAACTCAAAAGTCCCATGCAGGCTAGAATGCTTGAAAGATGGAAAAACAAGCTTAGAGAGGAGCAAGGCATGTGCTCCCAGACGCCTTGTGAGCCGGGAGCAGAGCTATGCTAGGACCTAGGAGGCCTGCTTCCCAGCCCAGGACCCTGCTGCCAGGCCTGCCTCCCCAAAGGGTCCCTGTACCTTTGAAAGACCCTTGTGGTTCAGTATTTGAGTGCTCCACTAACTGAGAGATTGGCAGTTCCACCCAATCTGCAAAGATGATAGCCTTGGGGGGCCCCATGGGGCAATCCTCTTATCCTGCAGGGCACTGTGAGCCAGGATCAGCTCAGTGGCCATGAGTGTGTTTCAGTGCCTTTGACTTGAGCCTGAAAAGCTGCCCTAGAACCTCTGAACTTGTGCCTTATTTTCTGGAAGTCCTAGGCTCCTCCTTGTCTGCCCTTAAGATTTCTGCCTCTTGGATCCCCACCCCCAACTCTTTCCTCTCTCTTGTTACAGAGTCCAGCCTCAAAAGGGCCTTTGTGAGGCCTCAAGTGTGGGGACAGTGGGGGACACTCGAGCTAAGTGTCCGGCCGCACCTCTCTCACTGTCCCTGTCCTGACCCTATCCTGCTCCCCAGCCATCACGTGGGAAGGAGGCAGGAGGCCCTATGTTCTGCTGTGTGACTCTGGATAACTCCTCTGCCTCCCTGAGCCCTTTGTATGCAGGTTAAGGAGCCCTGCCACACCTCCCTTCTCCTTCACTGCCTTCCTTTCTGGGCAATTGCTGTTTGCCCGGCCCTGTGGCTGCTGCAGGCTGGAGAGGCAGAGCAGGTGAGAGGGCAGAGGAGGTGTGCTCAGTGCTGAGAGGCCAGCAGTAGGGGACTGGGTCTCAGATGGGACATAATTCAAGGCCAGGCATGAGCTGAATGGTAGAGGAGAGGAGTGAGACGGAGTGGCAGGGTATGATGAATGGTCCATATCACTGCAGAGATTTGAAAATATGTGGAGCAGGGCCTGCTAGCTGGAGGTTAGCCTGGAGTAACAGGCAGGCCACAGTCCTCTAACAGGCTGGGTTTTGTGGTGCAGGAAGTCAAGTCTTGGTTCAGGCAGGGGCAGGGTGGATGGGGTTGGGCCCAGCCAGCATGAGTGACCATTAACCCCACCTGCCTGGCTGGTGAGACGGAACTTTGGCCTGAAATAGTTTCTGTGGAGCCCTACTTCCTGATTCCTGTACGCTGACTGTTTACAGATTGAGAGAAAAGCCAACTTTTCCACATCTATCCCACCGCCAGCTCTCTCTCTCTGTAAGCTGCTTGTTATCATCGCCTCTGAGATATTTAATCATTTACTCAGCCAGTTTCCTGCTTCACTCTGCGTTTTTCTCCAAAATTTCTGGAGTATTTTTTGGGGGGGGTTGTTGTTCTTTTAAAACTTTTTAATAATTTCTTTATTGTTGTTGAAAACATGCTCAACAAAACATGAATTCTGTAACTTCTGTGTGTACAGTGCAGGGACAGTGCACTCTTTTAGCTGTGTAGCCTTCATTTTTCTGAGTCATTTCTTTGCTCTTAGCATAAGTTTGCCCTCCCTCAGATTCCTATCTAATCTTCCAAGTTTCTATTATCAATGATCACAGATAGATAGTTCTTTAAAAGAGTACAGTGCTTACAGAAGACTTCCTTTGCTTTACAGTTTAATTAAGTTAAACTGTTGTTTGCTTTAAAGAGGATTTCAGGGGATATTTTTGGTGTAAGGTTTATAAATTATCTCAGGGCAGTTGTTTGAGGAGTTAATCCAGCCTCTGTGACTTCTGAAAGCCTAGATTCTATGTTGTTGTTGTTATGTATGGGTTTTCAGAGGCAGTTAATCACAGGAGATTGTGTCCTTGAACCACCTGCCTTAGAGATTGCAGCACAGCTTCTTGCCACTCTGTTCTATATTCCCCCTTAAGATCAAGATTCATCAGTAGGATCTGGGATCAAAATGTTCGGTAATGGTAGCCAGATAGCCTCAGGTTCTTTTGGTTTTATAGCAAAGAAGACAGTTGTTCATGGAGGCAGTTAGCCGTACCTTCCATTTTTAAGGAGGTTTGTTTTTTGAACCAGGAAGTCCTAAGCCTTCCTTATTGGAGATGTGACAGGAATAAGCCACCTCACTTCCTTGCTGTTGTTGTTAAGTACCATCGAGTTGAGTAGACGAGTAGACTCATAGTGACCCTGTGAACAACAGATTTGAACCCTGTCCTATCCTGTGCCATCATCATACTTTCTGACACACTAGAGACCATTGCGGCAATCACTGTGTTAATCCACCTGTTCAGGGATCTTCCTCTCCTTCACCAACCCTCCACCCTTCCAAGCATCAATCTCTCTCCAAGGAACAGCCCCTTACAGAGACATGCCCAAAGCATGTGAAGTGAAGCCTCATCATCCTTGTCTCCAAAGAGCACTCTGGCTGCACCCTCTCCAAGACATATTTGTTTTTTCTTTTGGCATTCACTTCCTTGTTGTTGTTGTTATGTGCCATTCAGTTGCCTATGACTCATAGCAACCCTGTGTACAACAGCTCTGAAGCCAACCCTGTCCTGAGCCAGTCTCACTGACTCTGACTCACCTAACGCCACTGCCCCAGTTACTGTAACAGTCCATCTCATCGGGGTCTTCCTCTCCTGCGCTGTCCCTCCACCCTTCTGAGCACAATGTCCTTCTCTAAGGACTAGTCCCTCCTGGTCACATGCCCAAAGTATGTTGAGCCGGAGCTTCAAAATCCTAGCTTCTGTGGTGAGTCTTGGTTTCACTCTCTCCAAGACAGACTTACTTGTTTTCTTGGCAGTCCATGGTGTGTTCAGGACTCTTCCACAGCACCTCAGTTCAAAGGCATCAATTCTTCTGTCATTCTTAGTCATTGTCCAGGTATCTGATGCATAGTGAGTAATTGTGAAAACCATGTCCTGCATCAGGCTCACCTTAGTCTCTAGATTGATATCGTTGCTTCACAGTACTCTGGAGAGGTCTCTGACAGCAGATTTTCCAAGTGCAATTCATCTGACTGCTGGTGCCAAGAGTGTTGATTGTGGAGCCAAGCAGGCTATAATTGTTAACAACCTTAATCTCTTCTCCATCTGTCATGGTGCTGCCAATTGGTGCAGTTGTGCGAATCTTTGTCTTCTTGATAATAAGTTTCAATCCATATTAAAGACTGTAGTCCACTCAAGACTCCCTGCCAGACTCAAGACTCCCTGCCAGACCAGAAAGAATCCTCTCATAGCCAGTGGGTTTTCAGATGCTGTAAATCACATAGCAGGAGACTGCCTACTTTTCTCCCTGAAAGACTGAACCAAAGAGAAAGATCATCTTTGGGCTACCAGCACAACTCTGGAACGATCACACCAGCAGAGATCTCCAGTAGGGACTAAGACATCACTCACTAGCAGAAGTTTAAAGGAGTGGACTGAGGAGACAGGAACACATTGAGCCAAGAAGATTCATAACAGCAATTCACATACGAAGCAGACCTTCATAGAATGGCCTCGTTGAGCTCCAGCTACTGGAATGAAACCTCCACATCTGTTTATCAGTACCTCAGTTTTCAAGTTCAAAAAATTTACCCTTTCCATGACAACTGGAATACAGCCTGCTTTGTCATCCTGCTCTTATTTATATTTACAGAGGTGGCTTTAGTGGTGCTGGCCTTCCTTTATGAAGTGCTTGACTGCTGCTGCTGTGTAAAAAACAAAACTGTGAAAGACTTGAAGAGTGAACCTAATCCTCTTAGAAGTATGATGGACAATATAAGAAAACGGGAAACTGAAGTGGTCTAGTACTTTACAGAAAATGTTCAGTCTCTGAAAGCAGTCTTCAACCTCTTCTGAGTAAAAAGAAAGCCATTTTCTGAGGTCCAACTGTTACTAGAAAACTGGTTTAACTTTGAATGGTTAAAAGATCCCCACCAGGTAGGAAGAAATAAATGTGCACTTGTGTGTGTATATATATGCCTTTCATAAAGTCAAAGTAAAATTTCATAAATGTGAAAAAAAAAAAAGACTGTAGTCCTTGACCTTCTGCAGCAAATGCTTTTAAGGTCCTCCTCAGTTTCTGCAAACAAGGTTGTGTCATGTGCATAATATAGGTTGTTGATGTGTCTTCCTCCAATCCTGATGCCACATTTCCTCTTCATAAAGACCAGTCTCCCGAATGATCTGTTATGCTTATAGATTGAAAAGGTATGGAGACAGGATGCATCCCTGATGCACTCCTTTCCTGATTTTGAACTATGCAGTGTTTCCTTGCTCTGTTCTGAGAACTGCTTCCTGGTCCAAGTATAGGTTTTGCATGAACACAATCAAGTGTTCTAGGATTCCCATTCTCCCCAAGGTTACCCACAGTTTGTTGTGATCTACACATCAAATGCCTTTTTGTAGTCAGTGAAACACAAATAGATATTCCTCTGGTATTCTCTACTTTCTACCAAGATACATTTAACATTGGTAATTGGTGATAATGTCTCTGTCGATGTACTTGTTCAGTCATTTTTGGATCATCTTCAGCAGGATTTTGCTTGTGTGTGATATTAGTGATACTGTTGGATAATTTCCACACTCTGTCAGATCACCTTTTTTTGAAATGAGAATAAATATGGATCTCATCTAGTCAGTTGGCCAGGTTCTTGGCACAACCTGGTGAGCACATCCAGGGCAGCATCTCTTTGTTGCAATATGTCAGTTGCTATTCCATCAATTCCTGAGGCCTTATTTTTTCATGTCCTTCAAAGCAGCCTGCACTTCCTTCTTTATCACCGTTGTCGCTTGTTCATATGTTGTTTATTAAAATTCTTCTGTGTCAGTCAATTGTTTTTGGTACACTGACTCTGTATACTTCTATCTTCTTTTAATGCTTCCTGGTTCATTCACTATTCTGCCCATAGTATCCTTAAGTATTGCAACTTCCAGCTTGAATTTGTTCTTTAGTTCCTTCAGCTTAAAAAATGATGAGCTATTTTGGCCCTTTAGATTTTCTGACTCTAGCTTCTTGCACATTTCATAATAGTACTTTGCTTTATCTTCCTGAGCTGACCTTCAGCTCTTTAATATCTTAGTTTCTTTCTTTTGCTTTGGCTTCTTGGTGCGCTAGCGGCAATATTCAAAGTCTCTCCTGACATCCATCTTGGTCTTTTCTTTTTCTTCTGTCTTTGTAATGACCTTTGGAATTCTTCATGGATGGTATTTTTTATATCCTCCCACAACTCATCTGGTCTTCAGATTTCTTTCTCGTTAGGTTCTGGTTGTTGGTGCATAAATTTAGACTTTAGTTTTTCCATCTGTAAACTGGAAGAACACTTCTTGCTGATCATGCATTTTTAGAGGTGACCTGAGGTGTCAGATACATAGGAGACAGGTGGCAATCTTGATTAAGTTCCTCTCTCCCATGCACCCTCGCTTTACCAGCACTTTGACACAGCTGGAATATCTCGTATTTTGTAGACTCTGCAGGTGGGCCACTCCTTCTACAGTACATACCGCAGGGCACCAGCCACAGGCCTGCCCCCTCTCCCTCCTCTCAAAGCTTATTGTTTCTTTGTCCAGTTCAGTAACATCAGTGGGGCCTCTCTCAGACTTGGTCAGGGAGACAAGAGTTGAAGACAGCTGTCAACAGGTGGTGAGCTCAAGGGGAATCCAGGCTGTTGGGGCCCTGGCCCTTAACAGGGAAGGTCCTCTCCTTATCCCTTCAGCGGCACAGGGCCTACTCACCCCACCCAGCCACACCTGTGCCCAGCACCACCCCCAAAGTGGAAATAAGCCTGGTTGTCTGTTGATAGAATCCAGAAGGACACAAGTAGGGGTCCTATTAAGAGACATCACTTTGGGAACTTTTTAGAATTCTCTCAAGGCACCTCGGTGACCCTCATGCCCTGTTTGATCTGACCCTATCCCTGCCTCCTGGGGTTCTGGCCATCAAACCAGCTCCATCTGGTTTTACCTCCATGTTATGAATTCTAGCCTCTTTGTCTGTGCTTCTGACCCCATTCTAGAGCAAGTTTTCTGGTTAAGGGAGCTATATCTTGAATCCTCACACCTGGAAGAAGACATGACCCAAGCCACGACCCTTACTGGAGAAGTATAAGTATCTATTTCTTGGCTCTGCTAACATTACTGTTGGTGGTAGTGTGTGCTTTCAAGTTGGAGCTGACCCATAGCTGACCCTCCAGCAGGTTTTCAGTGGCGGTAAATTGTATGAGAGGAGATTGCCCATCCTTTTCCTGCAGAGCAGCTGGTGGATTTAAACCATCTGCCTTTAAGATGGCAGTGCACCAAAGCTCCCCTGCTGAACATTAGACCCCTTTATGTGTCTCACAATACTTAGGGTATGTTGCCAGGATGGACCAGTCCTTGGAGAAGGACATTATACTTGGAAGGGTGGAGGGACAATACAGGAGAGCAAGACCCCGGATGAGATGGATTGACACAGTGACTGGGGAAGTGGGGATTGATGTGTCAGAGACAATGAAATTGGCTTAGGTGGGGTTAGCTGTATGTCACAGGCAACTCGATGGCACATAACAAAAGTAACATGCTCTTGGAAGCAGGAGTGGCATCCACTTCCGTAATAGCTTGCCACCGGAGACCCTGTAAACCAGGAGAAAGGATGAAAGTCACACGAGTGTTGAGGACTTTCATTCATAGGGTCACTATGAGTCACCTACAACTTGATGGCACTTAACAACAATAACGCCAACATAGAGATTAGATGGCTTAGTGGACAGAAAGTGATGCTACCAAGCCAAAGATGGGGACTTCTAATCTGTGGTCCTCAGGCCTGTTTTCATTGTTTTTGTTCAAATATTATTCTAGATCATATAGCCCTGGTGTGTCCACTTGCCGTACAGAGGTAACTTGTGGTTGCTGTGAAGCTGCACACTGTGACACTGATGTGTCAGATGTGTTAATGGTTACCCATGGCGGACAGTGTTTAGTGGTGTTCCCCAGTTGAAACAAGCTGGGAAGCAGGAGTGGCGTCCACTCCCATAATAGCTTGCCTCTGGAAACCCTATGAACCTGGAGAAAGGATGAAAGTCATGCAAGTGTTGAGGACTTTTGTTCATAGGGTCACGATGAGTCACCTACAACTTGACGACACTCAACAACAACCACAATGCCATTAAGTTGGTCCCCACTTCCAGTGTTGTCCTTTTTTCCACAGAGCTGCTGGTGGAGGCCACTTGGCCTTCTCATTAGCAGGACACCACACTACAGACTATGTCATCAGATATTTTCTATTAGGTGGATAAAATAAACCTTAATTTGCTTAAAAAAAAAAAGTAAAATGCTTAAACAAAAAATCAGCCGTCCAACAGACACCCATTACTGCTGAGTCCATGCCAGTTTGTGCCCGCCCATGCACTTCAGAGTGGAGGGAGCTCATAGGGTTTTCTGGGCTGTGATTTTTATGGAAATAGACCGTTGGACCCTTCCACAGAGCTGCTTGGCAACTTAACCGCCAACCTTTCAGTTAGCAGCCAAGTACAACCCATATTTTAGAAGCGAAGGACTTGCTTCTTTTTAAGTTTATTTTTTCTTTAGTGAAAGTTTAGCAGGAATTCATTCATTCATGCACCTTTTCCCCTGCTACCTCTCCCCCAAATTTCCTTTCTAATGCTTGTCCTGCTACAGGCTGTTAATTGTCATACACATAATTTCTAATCATCCAGTCCATTCAGATTATCCTTTCCCCCCCCCCACTCATTCCAGTTATTTTTTTTTTTAAATACTGAGGAGCAGATGATCTGTACCTGAGACCTGACAGCTGGGATCACAGGTCCAAGAAGGCTTCGTAGTGATGTAACCTTTGGGATGGGATCACTGAGGGAGAAGATGTGGGTCAGTGGGAAAGGCAGGTCTGCTGTGGATGGGACAGGGTACAGGCAAAGCCGTCGGGACAATACCCTTCTTTTCCTGAGCCAGGCCTCACTTTCCCCGGTTGTCAGCAGGGGATTGGACTGGCTGAGTGGCGGGAGGTGATGGGGAGAAGGCGGGTAGGTGAGGAAGGGCCTATGAGTAGGAGGAGTGAGCCGTTGCAAGAATGAGCATCCTGAATCCTCTGCTCTCCTGTTTGTACACAGGCCTGGAAGCCTGAGTTTCTTGTTGTGCAGAGGAGGTGGGTCAAGGTAGAGCTGGTTTAACTGGCTGGGGAGGGCTGAGAGGACAGGAGGTGACTGCAGGTGCAGAGGGCAGTGCCTGGAGGTATGTTGATCAAAGGAGTGGCCCTTATCCTACCCCTGGGATGACTGACTGACTGATTGACTGACATCAGGCTCACAGCAGGTGTCAATCCTGCTGACCACTTCCCCCTAATGTCCTCCAAAGCCCCTGCCTGTAGCCCCAGTGGAACCTGCTGCACCCTGTGCCTGACAGGCGAGGTGGACAGTCAGTTGCAGGCTGGTCGTCTGTACTGTGGGCAGTGATGGAAGGAGCTGGCAGGCCCACAGAAGCATCTCATGTGAGGCAGTCTATTGTGAGGCTGTGTCGAGACCTCATCTTGTGGGCATTTTGAGCCCTTGTCCCTGCCCCCAGCCTCTTGCCCGTCAGCCTTCTCCATGCCGGCTCTGCTGGCATTACTGCCTCCAGGCAGCCCCCTTTGATTTCTCCCTAGGCCCCTGCTGTCATTGCTCTGCTAACACCAGGAACAGGCCCAGTTCCTCCTCCCAAGGGCCCTGGCTGTGGGCAGACTTTCCTTCACTCACGCTGTTCCGTGTTTGCATCTGAGGCCCTGGAAAGATTTGAGGCATGACTAGAAGGATGTGGAGAAACACATCTGTCTGGAGAAT